CTCATGGGTGATGAGGCGGGTAGGGTTTGTCAGTGACGTGGTGGGTATGGCTCGTGGGTGATGTGGCAGGTGGAGCTCGTAGGTGATGTGGTAGATAGGGCTCATGGGCGATGTGGTGGGTAGGGCTTGTGAGTGATGTGGCGGGTAAGGTTTGTGGGTGATGTGGCAGGTACGGCACGTTGCTGATGAGCCGTGTAGGGTTCGTGGGTGATGTGGCGGGTAGGGAATGTGGGTGATGCGCCAGGTAGGGCTCCTTGGTGACTAGATGGGTAAGACTTGTGGGTGACACAGGGCTTGGTAGGTGACAAGGTGGGAACCCCTTTGGTGACAAAGACACCCAGCTGAATTCCAGCTGTTAATCCTAAGCACACTCGGGACAGAAGTGTGAAACATATATCAGCTTATTAGGAAAAGATGACAGATTTATTGAGGTGTGATGAATACTTTCTCAGCAGCTCATCACAGCATGCGGGGCTGTTCATTTACCACAGTCAGCTCTGTGTTCAGTAGCGGCCTCCTCCAAGGAGAAATGTGGACAGCATTCTTATCATCATTGTTTTTAAAACAAGCAGATTTAAAAGCGCCATGTGGCAGTTCAACGGCTTTCTTAGAAATGTGGTGCTTGGTTGCAAATTTTGACCTTGTTCTTTGAGTAATGGTATTGCGTGTGTTATCACAGAATTAACACTTTTATCTACACCAATCAAGTGAAAGCACAGTCTGAAAACAGCAAAACATGCACTGAGATCTGGTCTTGACTGAAACCAGTAGAAACTTAAGCAGCAGCTTCACCAAATTAATGTTTTATGTGTTTTACCTACAGGGCCGGACTAACTTCTCTGGGGCCCCTAGACTGACATGGGTAAGGGCCCCCCTAAGTCGTTCATTGGACATATAAAACACACTACACAACAATGGAACATCAATGATATTCTAATCAAAGCGTGGAGTGCCAGCGGTAAAACTTACTGATCAGGGTGGGGGTGGGAATGCTGTCGGTTAAATTTACTGATGGGGTGGAGGGGGGTATCGCACCAGAGGATTGACCAGCCAAGTTTAAGAAGTTTAATCATTCCCTCTTTTGCTATTGTTAGTCTTGAATTTTTGCATACATTCATTTAATTGTGTTCTTTCTACTTCTGTTCACAAGTTGGCTACCACTCTAGTGAGACAGTATCAGACAAGGGAGATCTAATGTTAGTCTTGTATCTGTGTGCCAGTCGCTTGCCAGTGAACAGCCGGTAAACTCCAGTGGTAAAAGAAAGCTGGGCAATGCAAAGCCTCAAAACCTCAAAACTTTGTCTATCCTGAAAACTGACGCTAAAAATACAAGTCAAATACATGTTATATCATTTGCATATTCATTTTATGTTAGATCCTTAAAAGTAACTTGTAGAAATTCTGTCTTCATGGGGCCCCTAGTTTTCTGGGGTCTCAGGCGGCTCTCTACCCCTGCCTTATGGTAAGTCCACCCCTGAACTTAGTTACTGTATCTTAAGAAAAACATAATCGTGAAAATGGTGATTGTAGCAGTGCTAGTTCAAATAAAGGGCCAGTATTACCGAATGCATGGCATTCTCACTGTTGCTGGCATTTCCAGTTCAGCTGAAATGAAGCTAGTGGTTAGCGCACTACAACAAAAAATAAATAACATATACAGCCATGGCACATGTACAGAATATGTTTGACAGTCAGCCATAGAACAGATCCTCTACAGCTCCTTCCATAGATTTAAGGGAAATCATCTGATATTAGTTTTGCCTCAATCATATTGATTTAATACAGTATTTACAGTAATTTTTGTAATCCACCAACATTATCCACAGATTCTTAACTGGGATTTGTCTGCACCTCTATTTGCCTCAGCTTTTGCCATGTCTTTGGACACTGTGTGTAGCTGTGTGCACATGTAGAATGTAGAGAGCCACATGAATGCAGTGCTGCAGTGCTGCTGCCCAGCACTGTAGGACTTCACTGTAGCACTTTCTGCTTGCAAACCCTGTATCTGTTAAGCTAGGTCAGCCTACACATTATGAGAGGTTAACAGACACCCAGCACAACCACTAGGGACATTTAAAGACTCTTAAATTAGTTAAATTAGCATGACAGCAAAATACAATAATAAACAATACCTGTCTAAACATATTGGCCACCCAGTACAGGGATTCCCCTGCTTTGCACCCTCAGCTTCCAGGGACAGGCCCCAGGTCCACCAGAACCATTGGGTGATTATCAATACGTGTATCTGATTGATCTTGTGTTCTCGTGTACCCGTTTTACATCATCTTCCATTACTGAAATACAGTTCCAACGCTCAAGAACAGAAGTACGGTGGACAGTAAAAATCCCCAGATGACGTTCTTGCCCAGGCCCAAATATCAAGGATACATGTGTTGCATCCTTGTCAAGGAGAACAATTCCATGACACACTGGGTCCCGAGTTCGTTCTTGGGGGTAAGCTAGCAAGAATTCTCTTGCCAAGAACACGAGTACACTCTGCGTTCTTGGTACTTAGAAACATCTAAGCAGTCAAAGAAGACAGAGGGTTGGATGTTAAGACAAATCTATGAGCAGTTGGCATTTCAGTTCAAATTAGCCAAACTAAACAAACTCCAACACAGAAGGGACATGAGCTGTTATAACATACCTGTAAGCAGGCTTTGGGATGTGTGCTGTGCCCAAAGCATTAATATATGCAAAGACGGATGTGCATTAAATATGCATTATCTTTGTTTAAACTTAAGATTAATAATAATTAGAGATGCACTTGCTGTAATAAATGAAGCTGCTTTCAAGCTCTTATGTTACTGCTGAACTTGACATTTTGTTCAAACTGCATTAATTGTTTGCAGTTTAACTTAAAATGAACTACACAATCATACCACAAGAGGGCGTCAGCAAAGCACCATTCCTCTGCGGAGAATGCGGAAGGAACATACAGACGCCAATAAATGAGCATATTCTCTTCTTATGAAGTCTGCATTTATGTTGGTGAAAACATGGTGTAATGTGTGTACAGTATGATTGTAGAACATTCTCATGCAATAGAGCATTAGGCAGGGAAACTAAAGCATAGCTAGAATCAAAACCGGAATTAATGTGCAACTGCAAATAATAACATCAGTATAAATAGATAGCAGTGTGACAGTGGGGGGCAGGAAGGATGCAGATGTCCAGGAGGCTTGTTTGAACAGAATGGGAAAAAAAGCTGTTAGACTGCTGGGCAGATTTACTTCTGACAGACTGGTAGCATGTCCCTGAGGTGAGTTTATTAAACAGATGGCGGCCTGGGGGGGGGGGGAGGGGGAGGATCAGCAACAATCTTTTCTGCTTGCTTTTTTTCACTGAGTTGTGTGTGTTTNCAAAGGAGGTCACATTGCAGCCGATTGCCCCAGAATGGGAGGTACATTGCTGAGCTGTACAGCAGTGGAAGATGTGAGGATGCTCTCCGCCTTGGACTGGACACAAAATAACCACTCTCCAGTACATGGTGCTCATTCCTATTAGCCAGGAGACTCAGGATTGTGACATCATCCAGCATTCTGTATAATGCATCAAATGAGAACTTTAAGAAAAGAGACAGCCCTGACAACCCCCTTTTAACCGACTATCTAATTCACGCAAACTTATTTCTGTCACTTATTTCATTGAACAAAAAGTTGCACCCAGGAACAAATATGGCAGTAATACATTAGTTTGTTTGATAAAATCATAACAACCAGATATTAATATATTTGCTGGGCCCACACAGTAATCAGGTCCTTGTTCTCACTGCAGACAGGTGATGTCACTGCCATGAGATTGATTGTCCTGCTCTACAGAATTCTGCTCTCATATAGAGTGGATCTCACGAAACACAGCTCATGTATGGAGTGGACATTGTCCACAGAATGGTGCTCTCATGTTAAGTGGATCCCACTTCCCAACATTGAAATTTCACAAGAAAGGTTCTTCGGAACTCGGGAAGTTAAATGTAACATATTGCTGCTGACCAGCCTGAATGTGGGCTTAGTGAGGGGGTCTAGGTGGATCTGGGCACAAGTCTGCAGGGAACATAATGCGAAAGAAATGACATTATGGACTTGAAATGTAAATTAAAAAATGGATCCAATATTTTTTTTTAAGGTTTTGAAAGCCCCCTGGACAACGCTTAGGGTGAAATGTTTAACAAAGTTCAATTCATTCATTTGAAGAAAAAAAAAAATCCTTCAAAAGCTGCATTTTGTAGGTACTGTACAGTAGGTTTTATTTCTTTTAAAGAACAACGACGTCCATGTAATGTGATGTTGAGGATTTTATCCTGTTCCAAAGAGAGAAACATCAGGAGCTATTTATAACATTCTCCCATGAAGACTAGAAGTCTAGAAGAATATCACCCTGTTGCCATGGCACCAGGAGTAGATGACATCACAAAGCAAATGGGAGGATGAAAGGCATTCTGGGACAGAATCTCGACACACAAACACTGCATCTGAACGTCTGATATTTCTCCCCTGCTCAGGAGCCAGACAACCACTGCTTCATGAGCCCCGCAGTGTAATGTGTGAGCATGAATGGGAACATGTGCATGAGTCTAGTTTAAGCAGGTACTGTGATAACAGGAAAAGAAAATAACACAGACTGCCTCCGGGAGGAGCTAGCAGACAGAAGCCCAATGACTGCACCTCCATGTATTAATTCAGACTGGGGACTAAGAAATTAACTAAATAAGGGAAACTATTAATTCAATAGAGTGCTTAAAAATAAGGACAGCCATCTCCTGATGAACCAAGAGCAAAGACAGATTAAAAAAAATAAAATAATAATATATATTATATATATGTGTGTGTGGCATGCGGACTGTCTGGTCCAGCTCTGACATGAGCTACAGTCTGACGTCAGAAAGACCAAATACCTGTCTCTTGCTTGCATCATTGAGAGAGAAAACACACACACACACACACACACAAGTCCTTAAAAGAACATATCAACAAATGACTTGAAGAATAAAACGGCTTCACAATGGATTATTAACAGGTTTTATTAGCAAAATAAGGAAAATGTTGTCCTACCATAGAGAACATAGCTACAGACAATTATGTCAGTTTGTCTAGTGTAACAGATCAACCATTATTCTCTCCCCAGACCCTGTCCAACCCCTACTCCCACCCAAAAACACTTTCAGGTGTTAGGTTTTGAACTGTGTACTGCACAGTTTTGGATTTTGAACTGTGTACTGCACAGTACTAAGGCAGATATCCCTATACACGTACCTTTCAAAACATTTCTCTGACAAATTAAATCATGACAGTTTCAGTTACACTTTCAAACCACGCTGCTGACCTGGCGTTATTTTAAAAAGGTTACTGAAAACAGCTCGTCCTGTCACTCTGACACACTCAGGCCCAAGGCTGTTATACGGCTAGCCGTGGTCGACAGCGTCCACGGGTCACTTCCCCTAACATGAAAGACCGGGAAGAGTAAGCACGCCGGTGAGAGAAGGTACATTAAAAATAAAACCATCATGATTTCACTCTGTAACGATCGAACTGGCAGTAACAAATACTGAAAAATGGGGGAATCACACATGAAAAGGCACAAATACCCATCCACTTGGTCCACAATAAGTCCATTTTCCCTGTGCGGGAGAAATGGCATTTCCACCAAAGCCAAGCTACCAGTTTACAAGACAAAAAGAACTTAATTAAAATACAAAAGAAACACGTTTATGGGGGGGCGGGGGTGGCTACAAGATTTACACAAACATCTTACACACGTTAAAACCGACCCAGACTGAAACAAAGTCATTAAGACTGACAAAGAATACAGTGCTGGCCTGTGATTGGTGGGTTTCACCTCATTTGTCTTTCCCCCTTTCAATTTGCATATTTGACCGTACTTGTGTTCTTGTGTACCCGTTTTACATCATCTTCAATTGCCCAAAGACCAGTTCCAATACTCAAGAACAGAAGTACAGAGGATGGTAAGAATTGCCAGATGTTGTTCTTGTTCCGTCCCAAATATCAAGGATACATCAGTTGCATCCTCGCCAAACAAGACCGATCCCATGATTCATTGTACCCCATGTTCGTTCTTGGGAGGCAAGTTACCAAGACCAGTCTTTCCAAGACCACAAGTGCAATCTTTGCTTTTTCGGTATTGAGAAACACCCATGGAATCCTCCTCATCTGCCCCCGCATGAAAACAAACCCAACTTCAATGCAGCGGTGACCTCGCAGAAGCCAGCCACAGAGAGGATGTCAGCTACACACACGGTAACTTCTGCTTCTTCAGTCCACAACAAAGAAACAGCTTTTAAATGAAGAATATGAATATAATGAGTACATCAGAAAAAAAATTAATATTTGACAGTGAGTGACATGGAATTTTTTTCAGATGTATTAAAGTACTGATCGATTTTTAACATGCTTACGATGGTGAAAAGATACACGCGCTCCGTAAGGATGTACAATCAGCCACCAGACCGCAGCATATTTGCCGCGACCCGAGCGCAAGCTGACTGAAATGCAGCCGTAATCTGTGCGATGCCTCCGTCAGAGGAACAGGCCGCAGTCCGTCAGGTTGTTCTTCATGATGACGTCGGTGACGGCGTCGAAGACGAACTGCACGTTCTTGGTGTCGGTGGCGCAGGTGAAGTGGGTGTAGATCTCCTTGGTGTCTTTCTTCTTGTTCAGGTCTTCAAACTGGCACTGGATGTAGGCGGCGGCTCCCTCATACGTGTTGGAGCCTGTTAGGAGACACAGACTGATCTGCTAACTCCAGCGTCAAAGAATGAACAGCTAACAGCACACAGTGGACTCAAAGATGATGGAACTTAGCTTCCAAGTCAGTGTTTCCCAATCTGGCCATGGGGACCTACAGTTGGTCCACGGTTTAGCTCCCTCTGACCCCCTGCCAGACAGTCTACATTTTTGCTCCCTCCCAGACAGTCTACATTTTTGCTCCCTCCCAGCTCCCTGCCAGACAGTCCACATTTTTGCTTCCTCCGACCACCCCGCCAGACAGTCCACATTTCTGCTCCCTCCCAGGACATGTGGACTGTCTATGGGCCCCCGAGGACCGGAGTGGGACACACTGCCCTAAGTAAAGGATTGCCCTTTTGTAAGGGACTGTATCACTTACCTTGTTTTCTGAGACCCAGGAAAAATGTACATTCCCCCCCCCATCATTTCTTTCGCAGGAAGCAGGAAGCCAGGCATGACAGACCATCACAGGGCATATGCTCATGCAATCACAGACTATGGGCACTGAACACAAACCGATTCACCTAAGCATGTCTTTGGAGGACCTGGGGGAAACCCATATGAACATGGGGAGAACATGCCAATTCACACACAGAGCCTGGCTTAGGATCAAACCAACAGGAATACCCAATGGACCACTGTCACCCTGAACTACAGGAAATTTAAAAAAAAAATGCAAAAAAAAAAAAATGCACAAAGAGGAAACTTCACTTAAAACAAAAACCTAAAATTAAACTTAATATCCCTGAAAATGTCTAACTAAAAACTCAATAACAGGAGCTCAACAGAGATCTCTGCATCTTTAAGTATTGTATTACGATGCTTGATTGATCGGCACTATCTTTCTGCACAGAATTGCGCAACTTCTTAAAGTCTTTGCTAGGCATCCAGGAAATGGGACAGGAGCAAAGACTTCTGGGAACAGAACATCCAGTCTTTTTACGTCCACAGTGTTGTCCGGCTATATTGCCTAGGAGACCATTAGGAGTCGCTTCAAGGAAAATGCGACCAGGAAGCACGTTGTCTTGACCACAGGAAATGGGTTCACAGAAGAGCGAGGATTCGTTTACATCACACCGTCATGACGGCAGCTTGTGTGAGAGGATTTTTGTTGCAGACAAATAAAAGGACAGATTACATGACTCATCTGCTTCCACCTGAACCCCAGAAGGTTTGAATGTTCAGCTTATCATCAAGCCTTTTCATGACTAATGCTCATTAAATTGTAATGATACAGGTGTGGAAAAACTATAAATCCAGCCTTCGTCCTTATACACCCTTTCAAATCCTGTATCCATGCATCTCAGCCTAGAATACAATTCCCATCCTAATATAACACACACTCTTCAAGTGTTTTAAAGTGCCTGCATTGGTTGATTTGTCTTACAAGGACCTTTAAAGCCTCATTTCCATTGAAATAATGCAGTGATACAATCAGTTTTAAGCCTTCAAAAACAATTACATCACAGTACATCAACTGACGATCAGGAAATCTAGAAAAATACGGATTTGGAAAAATTCCTGAGGGACAAACTGATTGTAAGGGTAGAAAACAAAGGAACAACATGTAAAAGCTTATGCTACAAAACAAAGAATGAACAGTGACTATGGGATGACCAGCTCTGCACCAGCTGAATCACTGGGTATATATACCAGCAGGGGCGGATCTACTTTTTTTGGAACCTTAGCTTTACTTGGGAGGCCCCCATACAAGAAAATTGATGATGATTTCATTTCCTGCGCAATGCAGGTAATTCAACTGCCCTAGGCGACTGGCCATAGCTAGAGCTGGTGATGTATATAATATATATTTTCCGGATTTTGTCTGGGGCCCCATGTGCCAGATCATAGGCAGCTGCCCAGTTTGCCGATGCCTGGATCCAGCCCAATACCCATGTGATACTGAATAAAGCCCACACAGGCTATGAAAAATGGGCTCTCACCTGCATACTCTGGATAACAGATGGTCAATGGACTCTTTTTGATCTTCTCCTCAAACAGGTCCTTCTTGTTGAGGAACAAGATGATGGAGGTGTCTGTGAACCACTTGTTGTTGCAGATGCTGTCAAACAGCTTCATGCTTTCGTGCATCCGGTTCTGCGGCGTGAAAGAGAGCCGTTTGTGTTGGGGCCAACATCCAAGTCCATAACCCAAAAAACAGGGGGCTATACCACCTACCACTAATATCCACAGATTTGGGGGGGGGGGGGAAGGCGGCAAAGACTGAGTAATACAACTTACCATCTCCTCATCCTCAGCCAGGACCAGGTCATAGTCACTTAGCGCTACACAGAAGATGATGGCCGTCACACCCTCGAAACAATGGATCCACTTTTTCCTCTCTGACCTCTGACCCCCCACGTCGAACATTCTGTGGGATACGAAACCGTCAAGTAAGCAGAGATGAAAGTATGCAAGAAGGGTCACCCGAGCCAAACGATAAGAGCTGTGGCTTTTGGGTTATCTTCCCATGCTGATTCACACCTCGAACCTCGTAACCTTGAAACAACTGAAATACGACATAACAGCTGTTTTGAAGGTCATACCGGAAGGCAAAATATTGTGAAAGAAAAGTCAATATAAAAATAAAAAAATATATATTTTTTTTACATGTGCACCCTGGAGCAACTGCAGACCACACTCAGGGAAGGAGGACCTTAAGTACAACATGATTAAACAACAGGGCGTGTGACAGTGGCCAGCTGTCTACTCCTGCCTCCTTGCCTAGGATCTGGATGGGGGTTTAGCAGCATTTTCACCACTTGGAGGCCGAGGCTGAGGTGGATCATCTACATTTCAAAGAAGAAGAGCAGCTGGATGGGGAGTGATAACAGGCAGCTCAGAGGCTTCCTGCAGCCTGGGGCCTGGTTCATACTTACTGCGGTGTGGCTAGCCTGCAGCTCTCCATCTATCCTTAGAAATAAAATTACTCAAACTTTAAATGAAACTAAAATATATAACAGCTAAATAGATATACATCTTTAAAATAAAAACCAGTGAAACCACACCAAAAACTAAAACTAAACTGGATTTCTAATGAAAATTGAAAATAATACAATAATAATATTGTATAATAATACAAATAAACTAAATTAAAAAAAAAATTATAATAGCACTAATGGAAACAGATAGACAGGTATTTGGCATTGCTGATGAACATATTTTATTTTAATTTGCAGCCATCTGGGAGTCTTTATAATCTTGTAGCAAGGAATCATATAAATGCCCATGGAACATCCATGTTGTTCCAATTATCCTCGTACGTGGCCCCCAGTGAGGTCTACGCACCCAACCTCGGTGACAAAAATCATGACATCACTGCATGCACCGTGGTGGGTCTGCAGTATGTATGAAGCAGCATTAAGAGACATTCGTTTCATTCCACCATGCTCAAGGGGCCACAGGGACGACAACTAACAATAAACATGCAGACGATGCTACAGTGTCAGATTTTGTATTGAAATGTTGGAAGGAAACAGAAACAGACAGGATCTCTCAACAAAGAAAAAACAGCACAACGTACCTCGTGGAGCTCACCCAGGCGATGGACACTTTACATGTTGTATGTCACTTTCAGACACAGTTCAGGTCCAGAAAGTAAAAATCCAGACCAAGATTTGGCTTCAACCAACCAGTTGAGTACTTGTGATTGTGACTCTTTATATTCAACTGGTTGATTGAAGCCAAATCTTGGTCTGGATTTTTACTTTCTGGACTTGAACTATCCACCTACGCTTTCAGAACAGCTAGGTAAGAACACGGCCGCTCTGAAGTGCATGAACAGCCCCCCAGACACACTGACACACTGCTGGCTTCTTACTCACTTGAAGTGGAGGTCTTTGAAGGTGAAGTGTGTTTCCACGATGCCTGTGGTCTTTACCCGGGTCCGCAGCACATCCTGCTGAGTAGGAATATAGGCATTCTGGGATATCCTGTCCAAGTCGTTCAGGTAACTGCACAGAGGCAGAAAAAAGCAGGTCAAACATTCTGCCACAAAAGTAGCCGCAGGGCGTCCTGTTGCGCCTATAGCATTGTTTTCCATAGTAAGCACTATCAAAGACCAGGAGGTTTAATCGTGTTCTTAAGAAGACTCACCAAGGATTATGTTCTTCTGATACATGAAGGAAATAACAAACCAACGAGTTAAAGCTGCTGTTGGTGCTACTTTTTAAAAATGTAATAACTCTCACTACTGCTTCACTAGGGCTTCAGTGATAAAGCAGCAGAGCCTAAACTGCCACTGAGATAAAAACAGGGATCTTTAAGTTTCAACTTCAACCATGCATCTGCACTGCAGGAATGATCCTGATATTCTGGACTCAATCTGGTCCCCTGATGGTGGGAAAGATGACGGCAAGCCACGAAGGCACTCACTATGCAGCGGAGTCATTTAGCTGATATTCCCGCGAGTGGCTAAAGCAGGCCTGGACCCCGCCATCCCTCCAGAGACGTCGGATGACTCCTGCCAACTCGGCAGTCATGAAACCCTCCTCCGCTGAACCCGCCAGCACGAAGAGCTGCCCGGCGTCATCCTGGGGGGAGAGCAGCTGTCAGAGCACGACCCTCATCGCCGCCGCGTGCCATGCTTATCTGCAGCATCGTCAGTGAAGGCAGCATTCCTCATATCCTGCAGAGAAGTGTTTCCCAATTCGGTTCTTAGGGGACCCACAGACAGCCCACATTTTTGCTCCGGGAGCTGGGAGGGAGCAAAAATGTGGGCTGTCTGGCAGGGAACTCGGAGGGAGCAAAATCACGGCGCAACTGTGCGCCCCCAAGGACCGGATTGGGAAATACTGCTGTAAAGGCATTTCATGTCCTTATATACTCTCACACCTGCACACACTCCCATTATGCATCCAAATCACAGATCACTCATAATACTCACCACCCGGGCTGGATCCCCAAAGTCGATCTTGAGGCGACCCATAGCTCGGATAATGGCCACGATGGACTGGATGGTGTTGCTGTAGACCACAGCTTTGTACTGCTTACACTCCTCTTCCGAGTAGCCTGCTTCATGGATGATCCTGGGGGGTGGAGGTACTATATCACTGAATATGGCCCCCCCAGGGTCTCTGCCAGCACCCCCCCATCCCATCCCACCCTCACAGCCCCACTTCGGGCAGAGGATAGAAGGCCACAACACAGCTTTTGAAACCTAAGACCACTTGTGTGGTTTCAGATTCCAGTTACACATTAGCATCAGCAGAGGGAGCCAGAGATGGACCCAAATGTGGCCTTAGATACAGTTGCCTTGTTTCCACGGAGCTGGTGCTGTTGCTGTTACTGGTGCTCTGCTGGTTCTCACTTAGTGCCTTGTTGCCCACGTTTCCACCGGTTTCAAAAAAGAATGGAACAGAAATATTCTGAAGGTGGAAGTGAGAGTAAAGTAAAGAATAATCTGCATTTAATTTTTTGGATTTATTTCATTTTGTCTTGGATTTTTAGTTTTTATAAGATGCTGAACTGAAAAAAAAATGTCTTCAGAGTATGACTCATTGCACCAGGTCTCAATTGCTTGTATCCACTTTTGTCTCCGTAAAGGCTCCCTGTCTGTGTGTTTGTGAGTTTATTCTCGCTGCCTGTTTTACTGCTGTACTTTTAAGGATCGCGCAATAAAAGAGTCTGCTAAAGACTAAACTTTGTAGTCTGCCTCATGATCTCTTTGCCACTCGAATACCACGATATTTGACTTATTCTACCTGCAACATAATTAAATTTTATTAAACACATATTTACTTCATTATTATATCTGGCCAGCAGATCGATCTTTCGTTTTTCACAGAATTAAAAAACCGATGTAACGTTATTCCACTAATAAGCTGGCAAGTTGTTTCACTGCCGGCACTGGCGATATTATGCTCAAATTCTTCCAAATTCTGAGACCAGCTTTTCTTTGGTGCCCTTTTTTTTTCTGGCCCGGGGCAAGTTTTTGGTGGTGGAAACGTGCAGAACTAGTTCCGGATTGGGAGGAAGTCCAGCACCGGCTCTACATTGGTGGAACGTCTACATTAAAGAGGATAACAAACAGCATGATGCACTGCAGCCACGGTTGAGAGATTACTCACAGATACACTAACCAGCCACGGTTGAGAGATTACTCACAGATACACTAACCAGCCACGGTTGAGAGATTACTCACAGATACACTAACCAGCCACGGTTGAGAGATTACTCACAGATACACTAACCAGCCACGGTTGAGAGATTACTCACAGATACATTAACAAGGTAAGCTTGCCATGATCCTCATAGAACACTAATTATATTTGTTAAATGAAAACATGTGAATATAAGGCCTCTAGTCTACATGCTACAGGTACATAAGGACAGGGAGCATGAACGAATTTGGCAAACAGGCCCTGAGCAATAAGTTTTCAAAAGCCAACTCTGCATTTCCGGATTTATCCAAAGTGACATACAGTGGAGAGAACAGAGTCAATCAGACCCTGGAGTAATTGGGCGTTTAGGGCCTTGATCAAGGGACCAGCAGTGAAATCACTCAGAAAAGCATGGGATTTCAACGGTCGTCCTTCTAATCACAACCATGGCATGTAACCAAGCCACTGAGCCACACAGCGTCCTGTAAGCTTGCCCTGAAGACTCATGTGCTATGGACCCCTCTAGCTTTTATATACACTATGAGGCCAAAACAACACCTGCTCATTACACCTATAGGCCAGTCAAATTCTTCCATATCAAACTCACCCAACCATGTCTTTGTGGACCTTGCTTTGTACACTGGGGCACAGTCATGCTGGAACAGTAAAGGGCTCTTCCCCAAACTGTTCCCACAATGTCTGGAGCATAGAACTGTCCAAAATGTCTTGGTATGCTGAAGCATTAGGAGTTTCCTTCACTGCAACTAAGAGGCCTAGACGAGCCCCTGAAAAACAACCCCACACCATTATCCCTCCTCCACCGAACTTCGCAGTTGGCACAATGCAGTCAGGCAGGTAAAGTTCTCCTGGCATCTGCCAAACTCAGACTTGTCCATCAGACTGCCAGTCAGGGAAGCGCAATTTGTCACTCCATAGAACACGTTTCTACTGCTCCAGAGTCCAGTGGCAGTGTGCTTTACACCACTCCATCCGACACTTGGCACTGCACTTGGTGATGTGAGGCTTGCATGCAGCTGCTCGGCCATGGAAGCCCATTCCATGAAGCTTCCGGCTTTGTGCTCAGCGACCCCACTCCGTTTCTGTTGTTCCTAAATGCTTCTACTGTGCAATAAAACCACTTACAGTTGACTGTAGAATATTTAGCAGGGAAGAAATTTCACAAACTGAATGAAACACCTGAATTGAATGATTAAGAGGTGTGTCCCAATACTTTTGTCGATAATAGTGTATTTTTAGGGTAGCCAATTATGTCTGTCCTTGCTAAACAAGACTTCAGGAAGTTCAGGTAGAAAACTTTCAGCATTTCTCAATACAGTCAAATGTTTGTGATGAAGTAATGTTACACAAACCACACCTAAGGTGGGTACATTATTGTATTGTATGGTATTGGTACATTAATAGGAAAGCTGATGCTTACTTCATCTGCTTGACAATGGTGCTCTTCCCTGACTCACCAGCACCTGAGGGAAAGACACAGGGATGTCAATACTGTGTTTTTTTTTTTTTTGACAAAATATACATTGAAACTTGCCAACCTAGGAAAACCATTCAAACGAGGGAGAGCGAGCAAGCAAGTAAGTAAGCACGCACGCACACACACACACACGCACGCACGCACACGCACACAGACCTGTACTCATATCTTAGTGAGGACCGTCCATTCATTTCTACGAACAACCTTAACCCCTACCCAGCCCTAACCTTAACCAGAAGTAACAAGACAAAATACAAGCCTTTTGGCATTTTTAGTTTTTTGATTTCAATCAGAGATTTTATTAAAACCGAATATCCTGTTGTGGGGACTGAAAAAAATGGTCGGCAAAATAACCGGTTTTTCTTACATTGCGGGGGAGATTTGGTCCCCACAAAGTAATCTATACCTGGACCCCACATTCGGACACACAAATACACACACACACAGTGTGTGGCTGGGGGGTGGGAAGTGAGCACACAGCCCTGGAGGTGCAGAGCTATACACTACTAATCACTGAGCCACGGTGCCGCCCCAAGAAGAAAGAAGCTAATTAAAAATAAATAATGACATTAATCACACTATACCATAGCCTTTCGTCTCTCCAAGAACGGCCCAGAACGACACAAGTGGGGACTGAGAGCGCGTCTAGGAGAGGCAGAATTACAAAATGAGATTAGCTGCCGTCCTCCTCAGGACTGCGCTGCGGCTTGCTGTCTGCTTTATCGCGTCGCCACAAGGTGCTGCTTCAGCTGCAATAAGAGAAATTAATCCAGCCTTACAAGCCGCTCCATCCGTCTGCCTGCGTACATTATGCAGCGTCGAGCCGCTGCTGCACAGCCTCATACAATGGCGTAATCATTTAATCGCCACCAGCAAAAACATCCTAATGCTCACTGAACTATATGTACGCAGCATTCGCAGGAATCTCTGCATTAGAAAACAATACAATAAAGTCTTCCTGCCTTCACTGAACGCCTAAAAAGCACCCGTGCTAATCTGTTTTTAGAAATTCCCACATTGTCTTCTCACCACTGGGCCGTGTAATCATAAGCGATCTAAATGCACTTTCCAGAACAGCATAATCTAGAACAGGGGTCTCCATCTCCGGTCCTGGAGAGCTACTATCCAGTCGGTTTTCAATCCTACCTGGCTTCTGATGAGCCACACCTGCTCTCAGGTAAATACCAGGGCCAGGTGTGGCTCATCAGAAGACGGGTAGGATAGAAAACCTACTGGATAGTAGCTCTCCAGGACCAGAGTTGGAGACCCCTGATCTAGAATGACTGAAACCAAACTCAATTTGACATACTGTGATAACTTATCAGCTGCCAAGGACAGTAGCATATATATATCACAAACTTTGAGGGTACGTCACCAGCTGTACTACAATTAGCAACTTTCTAATCTGTGCTTCTAAAAATAGACCTAGGGATTAAATTTAAGAAGAGAATTTTTTAAACTGACAACTCGTTCCTATGATCTTCCTACGTGAAGCCAGGCTGCCAGGACTCCCAGCCTCTGAATGGAGCAGTGCGATTCAGCAAGCAGCAGTGCGATTCAGCAAGCAGCAGTGCGATTCAGCAAGCAGCAGTGCGATTCAGCAAGCAGCAGTGCGATTCAGCAAGCAGCAGTATGTCTCAATACTGTGTGACACTTCGGACACATTTAAAGGGCATGCTTTTAAAAGTCACAGCGGCCTTACAGGAACTGGACCACAAACTCTCGATACTTCACTGGGAACCAGCCGTTCCAGCACAACAAAGAGAAATAGTCTCACTAACTTCAAGAATCAGAAAAAAATAAACGTGTTGGTGCCAGCTGTCCGCTGAGATAACTGCACACGTTTTTACATGCACAGCAGAACATTCCCTCATTTAAAATTTAGATAAAATCCCCTCTGCACGCAGTGCTACACCAGTGAGCCTCTGCAGTGGGGCTGGGAATTCCTCATGAGTACCTATTCATGGAGCACCCATCCAGCCCATCAGCAGAGGGATTATGCAAGTGCAAATGCAACCGTAGGTCTGAGGGAGAGGGGTATGGGGGGCAGACAGTGTAACCACACAACCTTCCCAGCAGCGGAAACCGCAGCGCAGGAAGGAGCTGTGCAGCTGAAGACCCATAAAATCTGAACATGCTAAGCTGGCATATAGACCTGCAGCTACAGGACGAGCTTCTCAATCAACTGGACCAACAACAGAACGGCCAAAGCAGTAGTTCAAGTCTGGAGATCATCTGCTAATGAACGTCTCTGGGACACGTTCTGGGTTCCAGCTTGGAGAATGAACAGCTGTTTCCATGGCGATACCCCTCTCGGTTAGGACACTGCCGTTGAGTCACACGGCCACTAAAGGCCACCGTGGACCTGTGCCTGGTTTGCAGTTGCCCTGTGAGCCTGCACGTCCAGCCTGGATACCCCCAATGCCCCAGCGACCACAGACAGCTCCCGCTCTGCGAGTCACCCACACCGAGTATTCCGAGGAGCAAAAAACAGCAAAGACTTTAAGGCCAGACACCAGAATACCTCACGAGAGTGACACAGTTTATCTTACAGCCTGAAGCAATGATCTCCTTCGGCTGGCCCACCGTATCTGCGGCTCTTCGTGGACCCTCCACACAGTTTCTTAATTCACCAAGGAAACAATCTGCCATCTTACACATTAATAACTAATAAAAACACACCTCTACCTTAAAGAAAGCCTATGATGTTTCTTTAACCTGACCCCCCTACCACGAAAACCAACAATCATTTCACTTCCTTCACAAAGGAGGCAATTCACACGGCAACTGTCTATTCTGCCAACAGCTAGCGGCAGCCATGTCTCTGCATGCATATAAACATTTTAATTTGATGTTTAGGCAGTCCCCAAGTTATTATTATTATTATTATTATTATTTATTCTTTATTATTATAAAAGTAACTGCATACGGCACTGTACTGTATCTCAAGCCGACAAATCATTGAATGTTTTCACGAGTGTTACAAAGTAGTATGTGCGTTTGTTATTACGAAGAAGTAATCACATTTAACCCAAATTTTTTATTTAACCAGAATCTGCACCAGGTGACCTATCCCCTCATCCAACAGTCACGCCTCCATTTATAACCTTGGCTGGCTCAGTTTTCCACACCACAGATCCGGTCACCCTCTTCCCTTCAGGTAATCCAACCGGACTGCCGGTGTTCCCTGGCAATGGGCCGGGCTTTTTCACCAGCCTCCAAGTGACAGGGGGCCGTAACATGCTGCCACTGGGATATAGCAGGCAGGCAGGCAGGCAGGCAGACAGACGTGCATTTCCCAGTGCGCTTCTCTACTCTTCGATGTTCTGCCAGCAGAAGGCCTCAAACTAACACCCAGCTAGACAGAACTTATTTGACTCGACATTTGCCTTTTGAACCAGAAGGGCTGGTGTCACCCTTGAACATAGCTACCTTACCCCTTAAATGATACTTGCCTTAACTTGCACCAGTGGAATTTACTCTATTAAATAAAGATATAAAACATGCCAGACTTGAAGGAATAAAGTCTGCCAAATCAAACAGTCCCAGTAGCCAAGGTTGTGCTGGTATTTAAACTTTGTTTTGGATACAATAAATTTCAGACTGTTTCGGTATAGCAGCATAGCATAGTTTGTACATCTGTAAATAGAGGACAACAATTATTAGCTGTAAGAAATACTAAGTGATGATTCCTGAAAACCAAAGAGCTGTAATTATGTCAAAGTTGACAAAATAAATCAGTGATGAGAAATCAGTGCTTGTCTCTATCCTGTCCTCAGTCTCTCCTCTGAGATGGTCTGGTGTCCCATCAAGGGTGTAATTCCCTGTGCTTCTGGGAACAGACTCCAAGTGCACTGTGATACCACACTAGATAAAAGATCAGGGGAGATGGAAGGATGCCTCCATCCATTGATGTTTAGTGACGTGGATTTCTGCATATCAAGACGTTTCAGGAAAACTGTAATGACAAAGATAATGCCCTAAAATGACATTATAAACAAAGAGTGCACAAGCGAGTGAGAATTATGAACATGCAGCACATGTAAGCAGATACAGTTCAGTCCCAAAGGACTGCTGTACAAGTGAGTGATGAGTGAACCAGGGCTGCACTCAACATCATTCCACTCACAGGAGCTTCCCTTTTAGCTCTAAGCCTGGAAGATTAACAGTGAACCAGCCTGGTGGCATCAACATCTTTCTTTTACTGCTGTATCAGCTCTCAAGAGCCAAATCACTGCAGGACACATGCTGTATTAGTTAAAAAAGATACAAGGTGAATACACCAAAAATGTTTTACTCACTGTAAATAATGCAATTCCTTCAGAGTATGCAGCTATGTATTAAAATGTATTATGTATAATAACATTTTACAGTACAATAAAACTACGAAATATCTTTTTTTTCTAGAAAACATAACTGCAAAAATGTAAAACAAAAATGAAGCTCTCAAAGTAAAACAGGACGGCAGTACGTACTGGAGGAAAAAAATCGACAAAGACCAGCGATAGAGAACCGGCAAGTATCAGGGTGAACAAACAAAACGAAACGAAACATTAACTAATAACGAACAGGCACAAGCAAGTTTATTCTCGTGTTTTTTCTGAAGCACGTAACCGACCACGAGCAACAGGTTTAACACTTTCAGCAGACGTCTGAAATGTTCCGGCTGGGTTTTTCAACGAGAAAACAAACATAAAACACTTTTCCTGGTAACTGAAATCTCATCTTCTATGGACATCGCAAATCTGACCTGGATGACAAGCGGGGCACCATACACTTCATACCCAGGCCACGTGTGAGGATCGGGGGTAAATGAACAAGCGATAAGGGCCGATCGCACGGTTCGTAATGCCGGGCCTTTCCGGTCAGTTCCAGGGTGCCGACTGTCAGCAACCGGATCGCAGAAATGCGGACACCTCAACCCCGCAGTCTGTCCCACCACCGCGGCTCGGACTGTCCAGACCGGCTGCACTTCGCAGGATCACTCTGCCGCTCAGCAGTACGGCACCGAGATCCTCGTTTAATCCAACCTACCGTTCGATCATTTACCCGTTTTCAGTACGGGTCTGTATATTTATACGTTATACGTTATGTGCACATCGGATCTGCCTGCTAAAAAACAAGTTACGCAATTCATCAGTTACATCTGATTACTTAAACTGTTCCGTACGCCGTACCGAATCTGGCATTAAGTATCGCGAATCCTACTTTGACGCTGTGTGGTTGTAACCAAAAGTACCTACGTGTCCAGCGGAGAAAACTTCTTACCTAGAAGTAAGAGCTTGACTTCTCGGGCGGCTTTGTCGCCGTCGTCCCGCAAGTTCCTGTCGATCATCTTGCTGCGCTCCACCGCCGCCTTGTCCTCCGTGCTCAGGGTGCACCCCATCCTTAAAACGGATGCTCTAGGCGGCTTGAAAGTAAAGGATCGGGAGACGCAGGCAGGCTACGGCGCGGACATGCAAGAGCTGAAAGGGACTGGGGAGCCAAACACGCCCTTATATCCAGAGATGTAAGATATCCCTGAACGAAGGAATTAAGTCACTTTGTTTCTCGCCAAAGGTCAACACTTTGCACGTCAGTATGAGTTGATGATATAATTGTATATATGTATTTCCCTGTTTTGTGATCGCAGAACAGGAAAAAAAACCAATACGAGCTCTATCCTGCTGGCTCTCCACCCAACACGTCGGTCCCCACACTAAATCACTGAAGGCGCGCGGTTTCCTGTTTGTGGGAATGCGCACGAGTATGCGCACCTCTCCCCCCCCCCTTGGCTAGCCTCGCTTTTTCTGCGTCTGTTACCAACACTCGCCACCTAAAATAATCTGTCGAAGAATGATCAGTTCCTCTACAACTACATAGTTTTTATATCAGATTTGTAAGTCTGATTCGCAAACTTGCTCAAATAAGATCGGGGTCTAACAAATCACAAAGTACTTACGCAGCTGTGGTCGTAGTTGTGCAAAAAGGAGTGTCAACGGCACTCAACGTAGTACTGTGTTAATGTGCGCTCGCCATCCGCTCTATGCAATAACTGGAGTCACCACACATATACTAGAACTTAAAAGCATGATAATTCACCATCTGTTCAATGCAGTAACACATCATAACGTACAGACAGCACCTACCTTGAGGAGAGGTGAAAATGGACACTTAAGGGTTAAGGGTATATTCGTACTGTATATCAGGATTTCCCAGTTCTGATTCATACCCCATTGTATGCGCTGACATTTACTCCAACTCAGGCAATAGACAACTAGCCCAGAAAAACGTCTGTTTTGATCTATAAGTTTAAGCATATGTTTTATTTTAATTCAAACAGTTTCATTCCTTCATCTAGTGTTTTTAAGGTATTCGGTGTATAGAGCATGCAATAACCGATCGGGTTGTTAATGATAAAAAAAAGAGTGAGAATGTGTGTGATATCACCTAGCATTAATCTGAAAATGCAAACGAGCATAGCACAGGGTTGGGCGCCATAGCAACAAGAGACAGGCTTTGAATTTAACTAGTGGTTTCAATTATAGAAATATTTAAGGCCAGACTCAAACCCTGATGTATAGGATATGTAGCTTAAATGCGTAAAATATCGATGAAATAACTGCTTCTTTCGATTGTAGATAAAGAAGGATATGCACTGCAAGTGCGTAGATTTGGGTGTGGACCATAGGGAGATGTTTCTACCAATATTGTGAGAGTAGGCCTACCATGTCTGTTTAGGGGACAGGGGGCTGGACTCCAATTTTGTTCCTGCTAACGCTGAAACCTAACCTACACGCTTGATCCTCTTCATATGTACATGAATTAGGTCTATAATAATAGTTGTATAATCAGCTAAAACACTGAATAAGTGTACATCAGCTCTTATTTCAGCATAAATGTTGTACTAGCAGAATCCCTTAGATGTACCTGCATCCTTGGCATACTGTATCTTTGTCCAGAGTCTCACTATTGGCTGTTAGCATACAGTGCAATCTGGGTTGCTGTCCAGTTGTGTAATTGATTAATTTGTCTTGTATTAGATCAGTGTTTCCCAACCTGGTGCTAAGGGACCCACAGACAGTCCACGTTTTTGCTCCCTTCCATCTTCCAGAAAAAAACGTTGATTGTTGGCTGGTCAATCACTCCTTAGATAATTTAATATAATGTATGAATTTGAATTGTATGAATACACTGCTTTGGGAACTGAATTTTAGTTAACCAAACCATATATCTATGTATGTGTGTGTGTGTGTGTGTGTATATATATATATATATATATATATATATATATATATATATATATATATATATAAATGTTACATTGGTTACTTTATTTTAATCAACCCATCTTTTGGTTAAGGGCTACACAAAATTATTTTATTAATATAATTAATAATGAATGAATGCTGTATTATTTTAGGGGCCAAAACAAAAGGTGTCCTGGCCTGGTTGTCCCTCTATCTCAGCCAAAAAAGCACTTGCATGTAAAATACTCACATTCGTACGCATCGGTGTTGCTGCCCAAATAACAACAAGGGTATTGGAGTTTTCTCCTCTAAAAAGCCACCATTCCCTGCCATAGCTGTGGGACCTGTTTCAAATCTTCTCTTGGTGTAAACCCCCATAAATGGTCTGGCATCAGTGGAAATTTACAGTGAATGGCCTGTATGGATTTTTCTTCAGACTCCCCCATAGGACAGCAGAGGGCAATATTGGGACCAAATTCTTTTTTCTCTGTCATCGGTCGAGGACGTTACAGGGAAATAATTTAATGATTCTCTGATTATCTTTTTAGATATTAAATATGTAGCATTAAACCAATAAATAGTTTTTGTGTTTTAGAGTATGCAGTTTCTTAGCTGCAGACTTCAGTAAAACATAAACATGTATTAAGCAAGTGGTGGCAAACAGATCTTGCGACTGTGATGAGGTTAAATGGTTGGAAGATGGATGGATGATAAGCTAATTTATTGAACACTTCTTAATTTAGTAATTGTATTTTAAGACCACCATTGTCATCAATATATGACTAGAGAACTTGTCTCTTTGTACATCCTGAAATATGCAATTGTGTGATCATTTTCACCTCTGGAAGTGTCAAAGCATCTCTGTAGGGAAGAATAAAGAGTGATCTGTTATGAATGTTAATGAACCAGCTCTCAAGGAGTCCTGTTGTAAGGTAAACTTAAATAAATTGCAGGCCACAATTTTTAATCCCTTTAAAACTTTGAAATATGTAATTTTATGCGTTATCATATGTATTTATGATCACAGTCTTAAAGATGAAGTATGTTTAGCTGTCATGTTGTTTTACCACTCTAAAACAGTACAAAAAAATTTCAATTGTGAATTATTTTTATATGACATGGCTATTGTACTGTTTGTATCATATGGTTAAACAGTGTTTGTTTTTATGAAATGACATGTAAATGAAACTTAAAAACTTTTGCTATGACACTTTAAAGAAACATGAACAGATATTCAGTGCAGATGCTGTCGTCTGCCATTTTACACTTTATGTTGTTACTCCTTGTGATGAGGAAGCTTGGTTGGCAGTGCGGGGCTCAGCTCCCCAGCTTCTTCCATGCACACACGAGTTTTGAAGACACTGTTTCCTCATAGCGGTGAGACACGCGTCACATGTTCACGCCGGAGAGGATGATGCGTCATCATTGGATGTATCTGCGCCTCTGTTCACACAGGAAAGCATGACCGTTGGGGGCCTTAGTTGACCCCAGTGGCTGTGGGCAGTAACCAGCTATGCATGCCTGCTGCACTGAGCTAAAAGCACCGTTCTGTGATCGAGAACACATGCATGCTAAGGATCAGTGCAGCCATTTGTCAAAGAAGGAAGAGGAGATAACTCAGCCTACATACTGGGAATTTCTCACAGATATTTCTGTACTTGTAAGACAATAGTTATGTTGCCCCCTCATGGAGACATCGGGTATGTTCAGCTGATAAACTTTTCGTAAACCAGCCTGATGATTCCAGTATGACAGCGTACTGCTGCCATTATGAGAAAAATAAAATTCACCCAGTTTCCTGTTATAATGAGATCTATTTCATGTTTTAATGCAAAAGTATAACGTTAAAAGGCAAAAAGTATGTCATTATAAGGAGATACTCAGAGAGAATCCATCATTAGAATATACAGTACGTTAAGAACAAGAACATTAAAATTTTAATGTCATCATACCTTTGATTTTAATATTCAAGCATGAATAACCACCATCAGGTTGTATTACAGCACATTAAAAATGAAATTTATGTCATTTATACTATGAGTAAATGTTTGTCCTGCTTCCCTACTTGTCCTGAAACATAGTTCAGCTAAAGCAATGTTTACATTGCAAAGAGCTCCAACGCTAAGAGCAGTGTCTCCCAGCCCGATCGGCGGGGAGCCCTAGCAGTCCATGTTTTTGCTCCTATCAGGAGTTGGGAGGGAGCGGAAACGTGGACTGTCTGGGGGTCTCCGATGACCGGGTTAGGAAACATTGGCGTAGAGGATCTGCCTCCAGATTCACCATAATGGCAGGTTTGCAGATGCTGAGTGGTTTCCAGTAAACACAAAGTATAAACAGACCAGTTTTTAGGTTTAAAAATTCAGGTGCATGTGTATTATATCCCATGCCCATGCCTTTCTTAAAAGGAAAGAAAATGTAAACAATAGGAGATGCAAATTTCTGCTTTTTTTAATATTAACATTAGCATTTTTATCCAAACAAATAACTTGAGCTGTAGCATCCGGACATTTTCGTTGATTCCATCGGGAGTCTCAGTGCCGCCAAACCTGGATCCCTGCCTAGCGGTGCCCTACATCCCCAGCATCACGCAGCCACTTTCATCACACACCAGCCGTGGGAGGAAACAGGGCAGATACCAGCTAACAGGACTTTCAGCACAGTGGATAGTGAAGTGAGTTGTGAGCAGGGGTCACGTCTGGCTTTACACTGCCTCCGAACAAAAGAAGCAAAAGTGTGCAGTAGGATGATCAGGAGAAGGATGAATGTGAAGCCAGAGCTCCAGATGGAGCAGCTCACACCACTCACAGCCAGTGCATCTCACTCAAAAGCTCCTCTTGGTTCAACCCTACTTCCCATAATAATTGGATGATTTGCTGTGGAGATATGGTCGCAAGTAGGCACTTGATATCTCCCATTACCGGTTTAAGGCTGCACTGAGAGCCAAGGAACAATACTCAATGTACATCCTGTGCATTATGGATGTTCAGTGCAACCCTGATATGTTCACATTTCATCGTTTGGTAGTTACCTGTTTGGGCACTGATTTGGCTATATGGAGTCTTCACAATCTGGGCTAAACTGGATCAGATGGCTTAGTGAAAAATATTCATTCATTCATTCATTCATTCATCCATCTATTCATTCAGTCACGGAAATGGTAGAAGCAGGACTCTGTCCTTGCTGCACTCCAACTGACAGTTAGTCCAAGGCTCAGAGACACATTTTTCCTATAATTCATCATCTATCAACAATGTAGCACAAACCAAATTCATTTCAATTATAAAAACACACTAACTGCACCATTATTGTTCTTTGAGAAGAAAGAGTAAAATGTTATAAATCATTATTACAGCCAAAAAGAAAGTGCGTTTCCACATGGAACTGAGAGTCCAGGTAGGTGCTTCAGCCCCTCAGCCTTTGGCACATTTTGAGAAATTTCATCAAGTCATTTAACAATTACTAAAAACCAGAACATGTCAGAGCAACCCCCCCTCCTCCCCATGCAAAAAATAAGAAGCATAACCATTGAACTAGACAAGACAGGATGTGGACAAACGGTCGGGGGATGGTCTGCCAGCCCGTCTCACTTAAGGAGAGCTTTGATAGCATCGCTCTCTGCGGCTTCGAAGGCACTGAGTCCATCAGGTCCTTTCTGCTCTTTGTCGGCTCCCTGCAGCGAGGACAAGCGAGTCTATGAGCCCTCAATACACAGACCAGCAAACAGGAGGCGTGACAGGACAGGCATCTGCAGGCAGGGGAGACTCACACAGCCGTCTCACAGATACAGAAGGAGGTGAAGGGACCCCAGCCTGAGGCCTGAAGTAGGGCTGGGTGAAGAAATCAAGAGGCCTACAGCACGGGGGCCAGAACACCTCATATCAAGCCGGGAAACGTCACTCGCAGCGTGACCTGCGTCCCCTGAGTATTTCAATTACTTTATCAATGCAATTCAGGGTAATACACAAGAGGCAGCTGAGCTCATATCAAAAGTTGCACAACGGAATGCAGTGGTCAAGAACATGACAACTGTCAAGCAAAAAGAGAACAGCAGAAAAGGATATACTTCGTATGGTGTAATACTGAAACAGGAAATCAGTGGTTTGTGAAAATTACCACAGAAGAATGCATTTCTTGGGGGGGCTAAACTACAGATCTGATGTTCCTCCCCCAAGTTACTCGCAGATCAAACAGTTAACTTTTTTTTTTTTTTTTGGGGGGGGGGGAGCTTCTGTCCTTACTGTACTCTGCACAAATGCATCAAATTTAAATAATGGAAATCCTCCATTTGAAGAAAAAAATATTTTTATACAACAATAATTAAAAAGCATAGGAAGTTGTAAAAAAAAGCAGAAAGGTTATATCTGAATAACTTAACTCAAAGATTTTCAAAGGCATGCAGACAAAAACTTAACTGACGCAGATTCTGCTGAAGGTCTACTGGGAATGCTGGCTTTACGAGATAAAGATGGAATGAACTGCACTTCATGGAATGAACTCATTCATATTTTACCGTGTAGTTTTTTTTCCCAGCAATCTTTGTGTTTGTGAAACAATAAATGCTAAAATTTAAATATCAGAAATAATTTCTTAAAAAAAATATTTGTCCTCTGCTATACAATGGAGTAAATTAAAATTGAAATTGGCTTAGATTCGTGAAAATTTTATCTAATTTTGCTAGCTACTGCAAGAGCAACAGAAACAGGACTGAATCGATGCATACTGCTTAACCTGATGTGAACACTGTCACCCAACAGCTGAATTAGCACCAATCAATGAAGAGCTTGGCTGCAATAAGCAGTGGACCATCAGGACCACCAGCAATAGGCAGTGGACCATAATAATCCACCAGCATCCTAGAAACAATGTCTAGTGCTGCATATCATTTCATGACTTAAGGTTCTTGCCACAATAATTATGAGCATTACTGAACATGTGTATGACAATGACACCTTCCTTCATAGCTATGGAAACACAGCTGAGGTTGGCCTACCTTCTCAAGCAGGATTTTGACACAGGAGACGTGGCCCTCGTATGTGGCAGAAAGCAGGGGGGTGATGCCATGTTTGTCAGGAGCCTGAGGGAGGGAGGGAGGGAGGGAGAGAGTGAGTGTGTTCATTACTGATCTGCAGGAGTCCCACTTTCTTCAACATCTATAGGGAATAACTCACAAAAAAAGCTGAATTTCCTGTCAGGACATGCACTGGACACTCAACAGTCATCATTCCCACTGTGGAGTGAGAGCCACTACACAGCTGATCCTCATAAGCACTGCCATCACCACAGAAGAAAGACAGACATGTGATGTCAAAACTGGGGGTAAAAATGTATTTAGGGGGCATATTAGATCCTTAGCCAAGCTCTAATACCCTTCATTTTACCAAATATTTAAAAAATAATCTGAGCCTAGTGAAGTCACCTGTTACGACATAGAGACTGGTTCTGTTGGCCAACTACCACATGATAAAGTTTATGCCTTGAAAAGAATGTGAAAAATCTAGGTCCTGTGGAGTCACCTAGTCCTAACTTACATACACTAACCTTGTTAAAATGGCAGTTCTCCCAGTAATAAATGAGGATATTACCATTTAATTACCTACACGTTTTCCCCTTGATATACTATTAGAACCTGCAGTAGCTGACACCACAATTACTTGAATTTCTTTTTAAATATGTAGTTCATAGCACAGTTTCTAATTTTACTGGCACTTATCCATTTAACGGAAGCTAAGCACAGCTCAGCCAGGCTATATGGGTTGAAAACTGGGTTACGAGGACCTAACAAGGACCACAGTACCATGTCCTGCGTTACACAAAATTAGTATAGTAGGACAACTGTGGGGACAGCCCCTTACAACCAAACAGAACTTCACCTCACAAAATAACGAAAAACAAAATCATTCAAGCTAAATTTAATTATCACATATACTTCCGTAATAAATGTTACATTATGATTATCCAATTGAAGCCTTTTAAGGGTTTTACAGCCTTATTTATACTATGGTTTGAAGTGCATTTATCACCTTGCTCTTTGAACCCAAGCTTTCCTGATTTGTATAGATCTTTGGACAAAAGTCTCTGCTAAATGAATAAAAGTAAGGTTTGGTAGATAGAACTACATTCTCAGAAAAAAGGGCAAAAATATGTACTTTTGCTTGTCACTGGGGCTGTATCCTTGTAATTGCACCTTTTAAGGTACAGAATGGGATGTTTCTCAAAGTCCATAAGGTACAAATAGCATTAATGTACCATCAATGATACAGAAATGTTCCTCAGAGTCCATTTCTGTACCGTAAAAGGCAAAATTACCTACAGCTAAGGATACAACTGACAGACCCTTGTGGGTACAGCCCCAGTGACAAGTAAGGATGCAATTTTTTACCCTTTTTCTGAGTGTAGTCATACAAACTGGACTGTGATACAGCCTTGTTGCACCACACTACAGGGGTCTCACATTGACATCTGCCCCCCGGGACAGAAGGAAGGTCACCATCTCATCCTGTCCACAGTCCGTAGCATAGTGCAGGGGCTTCCGTCCCCCTTCAAGGGTCCGGTTGATGTCCTCATCCTGCCAGAAGATACACAGGAGGCTTGGCACTTCCAGAAATACACACTTGGAGCACAGGTTAGAAAGTCCTGGACCAGACAACATTGGAAACAGGAAATATTGCCATGTGCGGAGAAAAAGTTTAGCTACCGTTAATTGAAAAACTGATTCATTGCACAAGAAGACAGCAACAACACAGAAGATGAATTGTAGTTGACAGTAAAAAGTGAAAGTGACAATATCACTAAAGAATGAGGGCAAGTCGTGACAGGACTCTTAGAGATGGCAAGTTGTGCCACCTGACAGCATAAATGTGAGAAGACATGGCCTCCTCAGGGTAGACTGTAGCGTGGATGTTTCTTTTTAAATGAGGGACCGATAAGCAAGATTAATTTTAATAATCCCACAAAGCAAGATTTCGGCAGCAGTTATAAATGGGATCAGACAATACACACAACATAACAGCACAATCCCACAATGGCCAATGGTCCCACAATCCTCAATATAGGACTTGGGTGTTGTATGCAAGATCAGAGATGTAGTGATCACACCAGTACTGAAAGCTGCACACTTTCATCATCACATACTAGAAACAGAAGTTAGAGGAATCATGCAAACAGATCATAAAATCCAAAATTTCAGAAACTTCCTTTGTTTGTGCAAGCCATGCAGACAATGTCCAAGAGTTCAACTTCCTTCTTAAACAGGACGAACTGTGCAGCAGGGTGAAGAGTGTGAAGCAGGAACAGAACATGGTAGTCATGCACTTCTGACTGTGGTGCGATGGAATCACACATAATATTCGGACTTCAGCTTGCAATAACTGGTGGCTTACTGTAATACCATTTGTGTTTCCATTACACTTTATGTGACATATCCGGAAGGTTCCTAGCCTTGGTACATACCAGGAAACATAAACACTACCTTCAACCAGTTGCTTTGCATTGACATTGTGTTTAAATAGTCATGGGGGCATTATTCTCATACGATTGAGGCGAATCCAGTGGAATGACACTAAACATGTCAAAGTAGACACACACACATATATATATCAGATATATATATATATATATATATATATATATATATTTATATTTATATATTTGGCCTTTAGGGACTGTATGGCTTTGCCAGTGGTCCATGGCTCACACGTACTTGCATGTCAATCCAAGCCATTTCATCTTGCATGCTTCATTGAAAAATGCAAGGCACAGCATATACGTGGGCTATTAAGGACAATCCTCTCCATTTGCTTCTGTGATACTTCTTCATTACAGATGGCCAGGCTTCCTATGTACATTTAGGAATCCAAGATTGCTCGCAAACCAGCAGTGTAAAATGTGAACAAACACTTAAACCGACTCAATGTGCTTTGATAGTCAACAAAAAGCCGCCACTTTAAAAATAGGCACAACGCATTAATCGCTTAAGAACAATTAGAGATGGAGTGGACATGCTGATTTCGGACAAGGGCGTGTCACATTTGCTGGTTAGTAGCCACGATTGTCAGTGATACAGCAGATAACCATTTTAGATGCTCGTTTTCAATGGCCATCTTTAAAAAAAAACCTCTACCTTCATATTCACATTCACGACATCGTCTTACCTTCACAAGTAACTTCTTTACTTCCTCCAGGTCACCGTTTTTCAAAGCCCACATCAAGTCTTTATCCCCCATTTCCAGGTCGAATCGCAGGTCGCTGCAGCAACTTCTTTCAACAATTATATTTGTGCAGCGTTACAGCCGCTCGGCGAACTTTTCACCTAAAATGGTCCTTTTCTGTATCATCTGGTGCCACGCCTTTCACGCATCTATATCTCCCCCCCAGAAAAGTCCGATGTTTATGCTAATACGGTCTTCATTAACGGAGACATATACATGACACAGTATAGAAAGTTTACGTCCTTAAAACAAAGTTTTAGAGAATGCACTGAGGGGGATCCGCCTTGCAGAGACGCAGCGTTTCCGACGCCGCGAACCCGGAAGATGATTCCGGCCAGCGGCAGCTGACGTGCCGCAGTGTGTGCGGTGGTCTCTCAGTGTAGGATTAGCTGTGTCTGTAATTACAAGTCGGATCGATGTTTACAAACTGCATGCTGTTGTTTTATATTTCAAGGTTCAAAATTAAAAATTTTAGATTTTTAAATGCCTACCGATTGTACGCTTCTCATTACACCCCATTAAGAAAACGGTCGTGCCACTGACACATCATGATGAATTTTAAAGCGCCAAACACAAAACCTTATACGTTCCTATATATTGCTTTACATTTGTGACGGTTTAATCATCACGGTAATTAATTATAGGACATTTCTGAAACAAATCACATAAACATGGCAATAATATTTTAGCTCTTGGACTATGAATTATGCTTTTATTCGTGGCGTTGAGTTTCAGTATGAAAACGTTTGGAAAGCAGAAATACTGGCAATGCAGACATGTTAATTGCTATTAGTTAAAAGATCAATTTTCAGATAATTCATACTCTTCTTATTTCTATCTAGTGCTGTCATTTTTTAAAACGAGTTTGTATTTCAGTCCAACTCGATCAGAATGAATGCAGCTATGGCTGCCAGCTCTCACGTATCTGGCGTGACATTTCAGCTTTCAGATTCTCACGCAATACATTATTATTTGCCATGCTATATTATTCCACTATAAACCTAAAATTAGCTGCATCAATGGCGTTGGAGTAGTTTACAAACCCTATAGACTATTTACAAGGTAACAAAACTTACATACATGTAAATGCGTGTGCATGTGTGTGCAGATTTGTCTCGAGTTGAAAATGTTACGCCAGCTAGCTGATCGAATTAAGTTAGCAATCCTGATGGATAGCCGAGTATAATATAGAAAATAAAATCTCTTTTGTCTTTTTCCCCAGAGACAAAGATGTCAGCAGCTAATCAGGCTCTGATGACCATGGTCCTGATGCCCAGCGACCTGCAATAGCTCTCAGCAGTTTTGGCACCACTCGAAATTCCTAAAATATTCGCCAAGTTCCCTATTGGCGTCCGACAGTCAAGGGTATAGCAGAGAGCTTGACATATGGGGGGCACACAACTTAATAATGTAAACTTTTTTCTTTCTTTCTTTCTGGCTAGTTCTGGCTACGGGCCACCTTTTACGATGGCCACCCCCCACCCAATAACCATCCACCTCCCCCACCCCCCATCAAAAACTGTCCAGGACTTCTGAAACAATTCAAACAATAGTGTCCACTCAGCATACTAGTTGTCCTCCAGCATATGTCAAATAAGTGTCATCAGTGGATGAATTTTTATCGTCCCATTCATTTGTAACCTCATCTCTGACACAGAGGAAATCTAGATACACACATTACCACAGGGAAGTATCTTACCTGCGTCTCTTCTGGCAGTCTGTTGGACCTCCTGTTGACCATCAAGAGGACTATCACTGAGGACTATGACTTTGGTGTTAAGCTGTTTATTGCCGTTGAAAGGTAATTGGACAGACGGACAGACACATCAAAATTGGTTTAAATGACTATCAGGGCTCTGTAGATTTTGCCAAGCAGGCAATGATAGAGTTCCGAGCCCCCGAATCTGCTACGGTATCCGTACCCCTCAGAAGCCCCTGGTGGTGTACTGAATATGTTTCAGCCTCTAGCCAAAAAGAGAAAAACACCAAGTCAATATAGCTGTGAAATTAGTCTATAATGTCCATACCTCTATACTAATACAGCTATAAACCATTGAAAAAGGCTTTATGGTTGTTGGTATGGTAAACTTGGAAGATTAAATAGTCGTTCAGATTTTTTGGTGATTAATTGGATTGTTTGGATGATTGTGGCCTTAAACTAGCCTGTAGGTGGCAGTGAAAAACAGTGTCATGCAGAAGTTTGCGCTGCCCGTTGAAGACTAAAACGGAGACTGGGTTTGAACCAGTCTGTTTTTTTCTAGGAAGATGCAGTGAATTTCTGAGTTGCATGAAACTACATACAGTTTTGTATTGCAACACCAATGGAAAGTATTGTTATCAAGCTACTATACTTTTATTTGTTTAGGGGTTCTTTTATCGAAACCGACATACATTTGCGAGAGCAGCAGAGGCACCTTAACATGGTCAGAGGCCTCAGATATTCTTACATGTGATTTTCCTTTTGTCTTTCTTACCAGGTTTGACCAAACTGGGGGAATAACACTGTATCTAAAATCTCTGAAAGTATGGCTCATGTTGTAAAGATAAAGATAGTATGAGAACATAAGCTTTAGAGGATCAGCAGTACAAAGACCTGGATACATAAATATACATTTAGCTTTAACCATGATTTGGTGGAACGGCTTAGTGGAAAACTTTAGACGAGCCTCTTTTTTCTTCAAAGATAATGATGAACATGCTGAACAGCTAGAGTCACCTGCCATATGTTAGGATTTCATTACTTAAGCCAGTGTTTTTCTGAATGTCATCCAGAATTGAACTGAAAGACGGACTGGCTCGTTATATTTTAATCCAGGAAATGGCCTTTGCATCACCATTTTTGATCAAATTTGGCATGTGAATTACAGATACCATCCAGTACTCGGAAATCTTTTTTGTTAGACTTTTGCTTGATTCTAGGGTGCTTATTTCAAGGTCAAAGTTCTTGCAAACTGCACTTTTCACTACTTTTCGGTACTAAACAAATAGCAAAGGGCTTGAAGTAACAAGTCATTAATTTAAAAAAATAATAATAATACAGAAAAGGCAAAAGCAATATGGAAAAAGTAAAAGAAAAACATTTATTTTGTTATTCTTGTATTTGTATTTATTTTAGTTTCTTACTCAACATTTACCTCCTTATTCCTTTACAGATTTATTTTTTAATGGCACTCCTATGACTCCATAATAAGTTCTCTGTACCTGCCTTTAAACAAAAAAGAAGTGTTATTCCAAAGGGTGTAAGAATTGTGAGGCTCAAAAAATCTTTGAAACATATGAATCTCACTCTCTTTTAATCCGCTTCTTTCAAAAAATAGCCTAAAGTGTATCTGACGTGTAGCCTAAAATGTGCAAAATGTTTTGGGTAACTCTTTAAAGAATTTCTCCTTTGTCTTGCAAGACAAAGTCTCGGCATACCATTGGTCAAAGTTGCTGGACAAGAAAACTCTTGTACTCTTTCTGAGCTTTCCAATGAGCTATAGCTGAGGCATGTAATTGTAATAGTGAACAAATAACAGCTCAGGAGAAAACACAGTGAATAATTTTTTTTTGCTACCCATGGTGCATTAAAGGTGCTATATCTCGAAGGGAATTGTTTTTAAAAAGTAAACTGCACACTGTAATTCACACGCCAAACTTCATCAAAATAATAAATGGTGATGCAAAAACTCTTTAGAAATCTGTGAATTAAAATGGAATGACCCGATTATTAACAGCAATGCGTAATGGAAAATGACTCTGGTTCTCCGGTTATTTCTGGTCAATAGGCAACGGCATTCGCCTGAACTGTACCAGGAAACAATATTTATTGATATAATATTAATAGTTAGGGAGGCATGAAAGAAGAGGGATCAGACAGACGCCCCTTGAGGAGTGAGGATTATTTGGGGAATAATAATAATAATAATTATTATTATTATTATTTCAGCTTGACATTAACTGAAAGTGTTGACAAACTGGAATGTGAAGCAACATAATTGACTGTAAAAATACAGTGTAGGGGCTGATCTCAAGCTGTGTGAGGAATTAGGAGTCTCATTAGCACTCAACCTGTAGGAACACATGTGAACACTTGCCAAAAGAATGCAAGCCCCCTCCCAGACATGATAGAACAGGATGCTTCTTAAATGAAATAAGCGTAATTATCCAGTAACTACGGTCATATGGATATATTTCTCACACAATCAGCGGTAACGGGACGAGTTCAGACCGTAATGCATTAAGGCATTATTGGGAAACATGGGAAGCCTGTATTTTATCACATATTTTTCTTGCTGATCTTGGCAAAACCTTCTTCTTTAACAAATGATAACAGGTAGTCGTTAAGTTTTATGTGCAGGTAAGCAAGTAGTTGATTATCCTCAAGGCTGAAGTTAATACATTAAAAACAGTACAGTGAAATATGGTTTTAAATGAGCTACTAAAGAAAGTGTGTCTCAGTGACTCGTTGGGCAGCACTGTCCCCTCACACCGTCAGGCCTCGAATCCCCGCTCCGTTATGGGCATGATGTGTAACAGAGGTTGATTCTGCCTCTGTCGAAAAACCTGCTAATTGCAAACTTTAAGTTGCTGGTAAGGTGCATATGTGATGCACTGGGATCCTCTGTCTCGCAACTCTGGCATGGACAAATGGTTACGGTTACACCTCTACTCATATTTTGAAGATCAAATGAGACTTGAACACATTCAATATTACTGTAAGCATCATATTACCACAGCATTCACATTCCTTTCTAGGTTGACTGCATTATCGTTTGGGTAATTAATAGTTGTATAAATACATAGGAAATTATACAGGCAATTTATAATGTGTATAGCAGTATAATAGCTTTTGATTAGTTCTATATGACTAGCTCACTAGCACCCCACAGTGACTGTATTTCCTAATTCCCTGACTCCTGGCAGCTTTGTTCCCTAGCTCCCTAACTGCTCCTGGTACCTCTGTTCTCTTGGTTCTATAGTGCCTGAGTTCC